GCGTTAGTCTCTTTAGGCGCGTATTTTAATAACATTACCTCCCTAAACTCGGGTGCGCATTTATATGACCCAAATCCAAATTCCAACAATGTTAAAGTATGTCCAAAAACCACTGGGGCATTTATGTGACGTGGTTCAAGACTTGTTTTAATGACGTTGCAATTTTCTTTAAAAATGAATAAAAGCGGTTAAGGTTAAAATTTGCACATAGGTTCATAATTGTTAANTAGAAAGGGAGATATAAACTGTAATATAGAAGGCTGATCCGCCATTTTCAAAAACCCCACCCCTACGTCGATCTTCTTCATTTTTAACCCTTCATCCATTTCCTTCTTTTTCAACGAAAGACAAGACAAAAAACTGAAGACCCCGATCTCCATCTCTGTTACTCACTGCCGCCGGCCACTTCAAGTTCGCCAGAGAAGGCCATCGCTGACCACCCTTGCACCACAAAACCGCCGACTCTCACCCCATCTCACCTCCTAAAACTCCAGCGGCTCTCCACCAACCAAAACCAGCCGTCACCTATTCAAACTCACCAAAGCAGCCATCACCAGAAACCAGCCTCCCACCAGCTGCCGCCTCTCTATCACCGGACTCCACTCCTCTTTCCACTTTCATCTTCTACACAAAGAATATTCCTCCCCTCCATTGTTACGCTATTTAAGGTTGTTCGAGTTGCGCTCGATTCTAGTTAAAAGGTGAGGTAGCCGGTCAAGCTTTACAACGAAGTTTTTGTTCTTGGCTCGAGGTTCCGATCTTGTGTGATTTCAGTCGAGGTTTTCCGGTCAATTTCTGGCCTCGGTTCCTATTCAGGCACTGTTACTGTATTCGAAAAGGCAATCACCGTGAGGTTCATCCCTTACTTTGACTTAAAAACAATTCTATCTATTTTTTTTATCAATGTTTGGTAATCATGATTGTCGTATGACTATTCTGCTAGTTTTGCGGTTTGCTTGAAACTTTTTCTTAATTTGATTTGTTTTGTTTAATCTGAATTTGATACATTATTAAGAACAAAAATGAATTAGCTAGTTAACAACGTAGATCTGTTTGGTTAATAATTTTGGGGCTAAATTTCATTGAGAATATGAAGTGAGCCATAACAGTGATTGAAATTAATGGTAATTGGGTTTGGATTGATTTAAGTAACTAATAGGTTAAATGAAAATCAATTAAAGTTACATTCTCTCATTGGAGTCTTATTTCACGAAACTTGATTTGGATTATGGACTGAATTTTACTCTATTAGGCTTAGAAAACTTTTCTTGCCTTCATTTTAATTTCGTAATATTAACACTAAGAGCATGTTAGGCCGACCACACTTGGGTAGGAAAGCTTTAGGATTTTGTTATCTTTGAGGCGAGAGGTCGTTCCCTTAGTTAAATTTATCTGGGGAATACCCCGAAGGATTTGTATATATTTTTATCCGGGGAATGCCCCGTAGAACTTGTTTTTGGAGGCCAAAAGTAGAGCTTATAGTATTTTGTTTTTATTTTTATTTTTCTTTTATTAGGAGGGGACGACCTCGAGCCCTTTTGTGTGTTTATTTTTTCTGTGTTTGTTTTATCTCAATTCGAATATTCTGAAAGCCGACTAGATCAAATATGCAACCGTACTAGTTACGGGACTTGGGGAGTGTCTAACACCTTCTCCCCGAGTCAACTGAACCCCCTTACCCAAATCTCTGGTGCAGACTTCGTTTGGAGTCAACACTATTTTAAAAGGAAAATTCTTTTTAAAAAAAACGGTGACTTGGCACACCAAAACCAATGTCAGGTGGCGACTCTGAGTTATTTCCTTTTGAACACAATTTTGTCACTTTTTAATTAAAAACCCTTTTGAACTTCACAATCCTTTTATTTATTTAAGAGGGTTTAGTGAGGTTTGAAAAAAAAAAGGTGTGACATCTCTGGCGACTCTGCTGGGGACTTGCAGGTTCGAGCTAGTACTTGATCTTGTTGGTTTTTAGGATATTCAGTAGAGGTTTTTATGTGTTTTGTTACCTTTTTATTTTGTTTATGTCGTCCTATTATTTGCTAGTTGCTTATTTGTTTACAGTTTTTCATTTATGTGTCATTGCTTTATAAATTGTAATCATTTGCATAACCATGAGTCTTCTTTCCGCAACAAGTCTTTCGGAGTACGTTTGAACATAGACGGCCTTTTATGAGTCACCCGTATCTTTAGGGGGTGGCGTGGGAGCGTGAAGTGGGCAGAAGCTAGAGCAGCCGCTATCGACCACGTGCCGCTCCGAATTGCCTTGTCTAGTGAACCCCAAATTTAGGTCACCCTGTAGGTCATTCTTATTTACATCATGTCATTTGGACCTAGTAGGGTTCGGTCCCAAGCATCGTGTCCCTTTGTAGGAAGCCTATCCAAATTTTGTCAAAAATGGGTCTATGGCCCAAAAAGATATTTAATCATCCCTATGTGCTACATGTTGCATCTTTAAGGATACAAAGATCATTTGGCGGATCGATGTTTGGGAAAGAAAGGTGAAAAATGAAGCAAGTAGGGCCTAGTTATATTTTTCTTTCATAACTTTTTCAAAAAATAAAAAATAAAAAAATGGAAATGAAAAATCCAAAAAGATTTTGCAGTTTCCCCTCATTTTCCAAAAAATCAAAAAAATCAATCAATGAAAATCCAAAAAGATTTTTACATTTTCCACCATTTCTTAAAAAGACAAAAAATATGGGTTTTCCAAATTAGTTGCATTTTTAAAGAAAAAAAGCTTTTTCCCATGTCCAATCTTCCCGAACTATGTGAACCCGATTCTCGTCTTTCAGGACGTGATACGTAGGCAGCCCACATAGGGTCCGGTCTTTCTAGTGTCTTAGGTTCTTGGCTTCGCGGGGTCTTGGCCAAATCTTGCATGTCTAGCCACATTTGGTCACATCGGTTGTTTTTGCAAAATAGGGATATTTTCATAAAATGTCTTGTTAAACAATGTATTAGAGTCCTAAGCCCATATCAAGGTGTGTCCATTCCTGTTGAATTTGCATGTCTAGCCACTTTTGGCCATGTCGGTCATTGTTGCAAAATGGGGTCATTTTCGCAAAAGTGGTTCAATTACCCATGTCTTAGGATTTTGAGTCCACAACTAGGTGTCATATTACTTTATAGTTCTTCCTTTTTGAGTTTGCATCTTTATCCACTTTTGACCATATCGATCGTTTTTTTGCAAAATGGGTCATTTCTACGAATTAATTTTGGGCCATGATTATTGGGAGTTTGACTTCATATAAGCCTTAGTGAAGTATTTTTCCATATCTTTGAGGTTATATTTGTTGAGTTTGCCCTAATAGCCACATTTTGGCTACGTAGGTCATTTTGCAAAAATAGTCTTAATCATGCCTTGCATGTGTCCAATAGAAGGTGGCGTCACATGTGTCTTGATTCACTAACTCTATTTGATCTTATTTTTCCCATTCAGGTATGAATTAGTGTACCAGAGCTCGAGCATGACAAATACCCCAGGACCACTACATTTAGGAGTTGCTTATAGATACTTTTATGTTTTGAGTTTGTCATTCATGTTGTCTTTTACTTTCTGGTCTTGTACAGTAATATCGAGTCTTTTGTTATATTACTTCCCATTTTGTATTTAAAAAACCAAAAAAAAAATTAAATGAAAAATCCCAAAAAGATTTTTGTTTCTTAGTTTATTTGTCCATTACTTTTCCAGAACTACGCTTGATCTGATTCATACGGGACATGATACGTAGGCAACCTATATAGGGTTCGATCGAATTATTTTCTTTTGATAAAAAAATAAAAAAAAAATGAAGTGTGGGACGTGAGAAATGGGAGGAAAGAAAAGAGCGATAATTATAAAGAAAAGAGGGGGAAAGAAATGAAAAACCAAACGGTGTTAGAAAGGAAAATGAAGAAGGAAATGGGGAAAGAAAAGTGAAATTGGGATGATGCCATATTACTTCGTACCCTCGAAGTCATTTTAGAACCGTTAACTGTGATTAGGGGGCATTGCACGCAATGTGATATTTCTATCTGATAAATGCCCTAACGCTAACGTGTTGGCTTTGTTTTGCTCCTCTTTGTTACTTTCATTGTTATTATAATAGAAAGTGGTCAGTTTGTGGCATTTTGGCAAGTCATCTGTACAACATAAGGTCAAAAATCAAGGTAGACATGGCTAGCAATGACTTGGACACAGGAGTTGTAGACCCACCGAGGGAGATTGTCGAGTCGGAATCGAAACTGAAAGAGGAGGTCCGAAGGTTGAAACATCAGATGGTGTAAATGTATCAGGCCTGGATTAAGGGACATCCTCCACTTTCATTCCCTACAAATTATGTAGAAAACCATGCCTCCATTCCACTATTGTCCCAAGCCTAGATGCCCACTACTGTTGATCTTTCCGCACAACACTCACCAGGCTTCACCCCTTACCACAATTTCCCTGGCACTTCCTCCCAAAATTTCCATGCTTCACCATCCAAACAACTGCATTCCAAGCTCTAGATACCCAATACTATGCCCTGGAACCCACCTTCAAAGTCCCAGATCCTTACTCCTACACTCCTCACTTTGAGCCTCATGTTGAAATGGAGAAACCACCCAAGAACGTGGAGCAAGAGGAAATATTTAGGAAAGTGAAGAGCCTGGAGCAATCATTGAGAAATATGCAAGGGTTAGGAAGCCAGGTGAGTGTGGCTTATAAGGATTTGTGTTTGTTTCCTGATGTCCGACTGCCTGCCGGGTTCAAGATGCCCAAGTTTGACTTGTATGACAGACATGGGGATCATGTAGCTCATCTGAGAGGTTACTGCAGTAAAATGAGAGGCGACGGGGGAAAAGACGAATTACTAATGGCATACTTCAGCTAGAGTCTGAGTGGGGCAGCTCTAGAATGGTACACCTGCCAGGACGCTAGTAGGTGGTGCACATGGGACGATTTGGCTCAGGCCTTTGCTCGGCATTTTTAGTACAACATAGACATTGTCCCAGATCGCCTGTCCCTGACCAAGGTAGAAAAGAATCCCAGTGAAAGATTTAGAGAATATGGATTCTGATAGAGGGATCAAGCTGCACGGGTCAATCATCTAATGGAAGAAGATGAGATGGTTGAATACTTTGTTCAAGCCCTGGAGCCTACTTACTTCGGCCATTTGATCTCAGCCATTGGTAAGCCTTTCAATGATGTGGTAAAGATGGGAGAAATGGTGGAACAAGGATTGAAGTCAAGCAAGATCATGATCTATTTTGCCTTAAAAGTCACAACACATGCAATTGAGCACGACACAGAAAGCTTGCTGGGTCAGAAGGAACACGATGATGTTTCCATGGTTGTCTCAGGATCACGACATGGCCCAACGGGTCCGCCTCACCAATATACTCAGCCTCGACCCCGAACCCAACTCCAAATCCTCAGGCTCTACATAATCCACCTCAGTACTATCCTCCTAACAACGCCCGGTCCTCTATCCAACCACTGGGTCACTCCTTAAGGCGAGCACCAGCACCGCATAATACTCTTTCGCCTTCACAACATTTTTGAGCACCCAAAAACCCTAGGAAATAGGGGCATAGAGGGGAACAAAGTCAAAGAAATAGTTTCACGCCAATCAAAGAATCCTACACAAACTTGTTTGAAAAGTTAAAACAGTCTAGCCTGATTGAGCCGCTCCTCGGCTATACTCCGGACCCATATGCAAAAGGTTTTGATCCTACTGTACGGTACATGTACCACTCTAATGTCCAAGGGCATAGCATTGAAGATTGTCGTGCTTTGAAAAGGGAGATAGAAAGAATGATTCAAGAACGGATAATTGTGGTCCAGGACAGTGACACCCATAATATCACGCAGAATCCTTTACCTGCACATAATGATGCACATTTTTGGGGAAGATGTGTGGTGACAGAGAGTATGAGAATCCTCTTGGGAACTTCCTGACTGAAGTTAATGATATTGAGATTGGTAAAGGTCCCAATAATTTTGATGTGCAATCCAGTGGCTAAGATATCGAGCTTGGTAATTGGAAAGACACTCCTTTCTTGGCTAGCCAGGGAGGAGTTTTGGCGGTTTATTTTGCTGTCATTTCTGCTTATCCGGGTTATTTAGGGTTGTAATCCGGATTTTGTCTTATGGCTCAAACATTTCTTCTTCTTCTTCTTCTCATTTTGTCTAGTTCGTTTAGTTGTAGTAACTCGTCTAGTGTTATCTAGGATTGTTCCAGGGTTGTAACTCATGTCTGTCTTGTTCAAACCATTTTCATCATCTATCTAATGCAATCTCCTATTTTCTATTAGTTCTAGTCAGTTTTGTTTAGGTCATTTTTTTTCTTTTATAGTTCTTTTCATTCCGACTCTAGTGACATAACATGCACGCATAATTCTTAGCATGATCTTGAAAGTTAGTCTAATCATGGAGCAATGGCATCGTTTTAAATATGATAAAAGGATGCATTTGAGGAAATAATTAACGATTCACACATTCTGAGATGACCTAAATTTTGAATTGAGTGAAACTGAGGCAGTAAGTCTAGGAAATCAAGAAGTTGATAAGAGCATACAACAAGGAAATGCCTCTCAAGCAGTTTGAGGTAAATCAGTCAGTGCTGAAATGCATTCTTCCACATCAAGATAAGGTTGAGTCAAGTCTGCTTCGAACTGGCAAGGGTCATTCATTGGGACAAAGGTATTGCCCATTGGCACTTTTTGTTTGTGTTGATGCCATCAATAGATACTATGTGTGATTTATTTGCTTATCTTCAATTGCATGTTTGTACTTGGCATTTTTAAGTTTGGTATGACGAAGACATTTTATTCTACTACCCAGACACTTTATCCTTTGTTACTCATTTTGAGCCCTAATTTTTTATTTCATACCCCTCTTTTGGAATTAGAAATAGCGTTAGGAACTAGAAAAGGAAAATAAAAAGAAAAAAAAGAAAGAAAAAAGGAAAAGAGAAAAAAAAAGGAGAAAAGAAAAAAAAAGAGAAGGAAAAGAAAAAAACAACAACTTTGTCTTTTGAACCACGTTCGGCCTTATTCTTGTCACCTCAAGATACGTAGGCAGCCTTAGGGTTCATTCACACAAAATAAAATATTTCATAATCCCCGAAGTCAAGAGTGGGGCAGTTTTTGTTAGAAATCCTGTCAAAGCAAAAATTCAAAAAATACTCCCCAAACTCCAAGAAACTGGGGCAGAAGTTTTAATTTTGCCAAGAGTCCTGATTCCAAAAGTTGTAATTTTAAACCCTTTTCATCTTAAATTATTTTGAGCCTTCATGCCACCCTTTCTTTCCAACCCTGTCCAAAATCCTACATTACGGTCCAAAGAAAGACCTTCTGACCAATCTTTGAGGATGCCAAATCAAGTGTAGTACCTTTGTTCTCAGCACAAAGAGAGAAAATGATAAAATGAGAGAGTCTTATTGGTGAAAAACCTCATGTGCACCGTAAGGCAACGGTGAGTTGAGAAAGGAGCAAAATTAGAGAGGCTTAATGGTGAAAACCCTTCAGGGCACTACAAGTTGATTGAGGATTATGGATCAGATGGGACAATTAAGCATTGAAGACCAGTTTCACATCGAAGAGGTAAAACAAGAGTTGAATATTAGACTTGCTTGAGAGATTAGGCCACTTAATCCAAAGGTCCATGTCATGGTCATTAGAGTTGGTATCCATCTGATAAGTTTCTACTTTGTAATTTCCTTGGTAGGTATCATCTTTTTCCATTGTCCCTTATTTTGTTCCTCTTGTTTTGTTTAAGTCCTCTGGAGTCTGTTTTGTCAGAATAAGTAAAGAAATGACTTCAAAATCTGCTACCACCTTCTAATTGCACAAAATAGATTTGGCTAGCACATCAAAGTGGCATAAGTCAGGGAAAAGTGGTATGCACACTGAGTTGGTAACAATCAACATGCTTTGGGATTCATGGGAAATGCAAAGGTTCGGTAAATGTCAATTCATGAGTAAAATGCAACAGATAGAGGATATTGGGACCGAATGGAGCGGAGGTATTTTCTGTGATAAGGGTTGAAATAAAATGGGTAGTCGATAACAGGCAAGGTCTTCCAAGTTGAAATCAAAGTTATCTTGGCAAGTGCAGAAGTAGCCGCCTTCAAGGTCAAGGACACAAACTAACCACCATGTTTTAAACTCACAAGTTTTCTTTGCCTGAAACAGGGATGAAGGCTATGTTCATAACAAAGCTTGAATTTTTCAGGTGTAATGCCCCAATTCTGCTTGCATAAAGGCTATTGAAAAGATCACACATCATCCCTAGGAGAAGCACTTCCTAGTATAGGCCTTTCAAATTATATTTTATTTTAGGAGACGCACTTCCTAGTTTTGGGTCATTTAAGTTTATTCCTAGGAAACACACTTCCTAGTTTGAATCATTGAAGTTTCGTCCCTAGGAGACGCACTTCCTAGTCTGGGTCCTCCAGGTTATATTTTTGTTTTAGGAGACACACTTCCTAAATTGAGAGTTTACCTCTAGGAGACGCACTTCCTAGTTGGAGTCATTTAAGTTCATCCATAGGAGATGCACTTCCTAGTTTGAGTCATTGAAGTTTCACCTCTAGGCGACACACTTCCTAGTCTAGGTTTTTTAGGTTATACTGTTTAGGAGACGCACTTCCTAAATTGAGATTTCACCCCTAGGAGACGCACTTCCTAGTCTGGGTCTTTCG